GTTCCACAAGGAGATTGCCAGTGACAACGATCGGATTCGGTGGATTCAGAATGACAAGCTTCCACCGAGGCTTGAGCTCAGGGACTACTTTCACGCATTCGAGACCGAGCTCAACCGAAGCGAAATGATCGGATATGTCATGGCAACTCTCCACATGTTGCACATGACGGACATCTTGATCCCTCAGTACAACCTGTCCTTGTACAAGCGCAGGCGCCCTGCAGGAGAAGCTACAATGCGTGATGTCACACCAAAGATGGAGCACCTCCCAGTCAGGTTTGTGCAGGTTCTCAATGCTCTCCGGGAGAAGACGAACAAATCTGCACCGAGCGTCTCGACCCCAGAAAGCTTTACAGCAGAGGAGTTGAGAGACCGCCCGACTGATGCTGGTGTCGCCGAAGATGATGATGAAGAAGGCGACCCATGGGATGCTGTGGATCCCGATGAGCACGAGGGCCCATCTGTTGGCAAAGCCAAGGCAAGCCACGCAGCTCCACCTGATCCCAAGGCGAAAGCTCCAGCGACACAGGAGGATTCAACTCAGGCCACCTCAGCTGGTGAGCCCCTGCAAGAAAACGAGATCAAGGGTACCATCATTCCGAAACATGCATTGGGACACCTTGACAAATATCGTATCACTTTGGACGAAAACATCAATGCAGAAGTAGTTGAACATTGTGTCGTTGATTCCCATCCCTACGAATTGATCGTCAAAACCTGTTGGGAGATGGATGGGGCAAAGGAGCTGAGGTTCCCAGATCGCATGGACCGACACAAGACTAAGGTCAATGCAGTGACGCGTGGACAGCCGGGTCAGGACACCTCTGGATTTGATGAAAACATGTGGCTTGATCTTGATGACTTCTTTCGGATGTTCAATCAAATGCTGCCAGCCAAGTTGCCTCGGATGACGGTTGAAGAGCTCATCTCCCTTCTTTGGTGGGACAGCAAGTGCCGTTTTGAGTTTCAGTGCATTGCCGGGTACCAGAAGGCAACCCGTAAAGGGTTAGCCTACTGGCCCATCAGAATCCGCGCAGTGCAGGGGCACACGAAACGCGCCATGGATGCCGCTTCGGCTGAGGACACGTTCAATGCAGTGGAAATCTATGCTCTGTCTGGAGCAGCAGCGATCCAGAAAATGAACGCCAAAGGTAAAAAGATTACCACTCCTCAGATGTGCCCCGGCGTAGTATATCACAGGACTACAAAAGGCAATTGGAAGGGCATCATTGAGAATGGCTTCGTCGCTGGAGGAGGAGAACGAAATTCATCAGGCAGAGCACACTCCTATTTTAGCGAAGTGCGTGTCGACGAGAAAGAGTATGTGAGCGGTTTGCGTGCTGAACGACCCATTGAAATCAGGGTAGCAATGGCTGAAGCTGTCAAAGCTGGCATTGTGTTTTTCAGGACGGCCTCTGACGGCATTTTGACAAGTGACGTCGTACCGCCTCAATACATTATCTCTGTCGATGACACTGCCAAGAAGGTGAATTTGTATCGCCGCCATCAAGAGGTCGCACAGTCTGCAGCAAGCAGTGGGGGAGAAGTTGGAGTCCAGGAGCTTGTCGAGACCTTTGAGGCCAAGGCATCAAAACGGACTGGTTCCAAGTCTCCGGCCGCCTCAACTGGCGCGCCCACTGCAACAGCATTTTTCCCAGGAAAGGTGAAGCCTCCGCCACCAAATGTGGCCCAACTTGCCGGTATGCCTGGATATGCAAGCAGCAGATTGTTGCCCCCTCCTCCGAAGGGTGAAGCTCCAAAGCCTCCTGCAGCAAAGGTTGAAAGCCCAAAGACACCGCCGAAAGCGCCTCCAAAACCATCACCGAAGGAAGGGACTTCTGCACCTCATGCACCAGAAGTTCCAAAAGCTGTGACCTCAGAAGTTGATGCAGCAGCAAAGGATGAACCTGCAAAGAAGAAGGCAGCCCTGACAAGCGTGCCCGCAGCTGTGCCTGCGGCATCATCAGCTGCGGCCTTCTTGGAGCCTGTTTCAAAAGTTGCACCGCCGAAGGCAGTACAGAAAGATCCAAAAGCTCCAGTTGCAGACCAAAAAGACGCCGGCATCAACATCAAAGTCACTGGTGCCAAAGCAGAAGTCTCGCCCTAAAGACGATGACCAACCTTCGAAGAAAGAGGTGAAGAAGGAGGACAAGAAGCCGGTGCCGGTCAAGATTGAAGTCACGCAATGTTCAAGATGTTTTGCACAGACTTTCAAGGGACAGATTGAATGCGATGTGTGTGGATTGATGCTCGAAGGGGTGAACAAGGCCGACCGAACCAAGATTGCAGAACGAAGGAAGGCCGCCCTTCACAAGCTGGGCTTGTACTATGATTTTCGTGGTGAGTACCTGCAAAGCATCACACACAGTCAGCTTGAATCTTTGGGTTTGTTGGACGACCAGGCAAGAGGAAGCTCTAGTCCGGAAGCCAGTTTGTTGGCAAGGGCAAAGAGTCGATTCGACCGTGCCTTGAGCTTGGGCTATGTGTCTGTGGCTGACAGGTTTGCCCAGGACGCCACATTCGCAGAGAGCGTGCTGAACGAGGGGGAGAACGAGTACGATTGTGAAAGGTACGACCTCCTCAAGTCTGCACATTTGCCAAAGCCAGGTCGTACCAAGGCTCAGGTCAAGATGGGTGTTTCTGAGCAATCTCAGCTGGAGCACAATGCTATGAGGCTGGTTTACTTGGATTTGGCAAGCCGTCTTGATGTCCCGAAATCGTTCAGGTACATCGACCAACCATGGTTCTACATGTACCGTACGGAAATCTACTCCGAGGAAGAGTACATTGACTACCTCGATCGGAATCCTGGACACAACCTTTTGTTGTCTTGCACTGGCGTTGACAACATTGCTGTTCATGATGCTGAACGTCATTTGAGGTGGATCAAGGGACAAAACGAGGAGCTGTACAAGCAGAACGCTGCAGAGAAGAAGAAGCAGTCTGACAGGGCTCGCGAGCAGAACGAGGCCAAGCGCAAAGCTGAGCAGACTGGAGCGTACGGCCAAGGTCCCTCCAAGAAAGGCACCGCCAAACCGGTTGCCCGACCATCCACCGTAGAGGTAGCTTCATCATCAACGTCTGCAAGTCAGTGGATCAACCGCCCTCAGCAAAGTCAGTCCCACGATGATCGCCGTTACACTGGAGAATGGCAGAAGTGGCATGGGCGCTGGTACGAGAAAGTCATCAGGCATGGCCGTGTTGAGTGGGAAGAGGGATAAGTTGTGAAACTGCTTGCATCGACGATCGGTTTTTGTATAATAGCCGCTGAGTGTGTTTTCCCTTGGGTTTGCGAAGAGCCAGTTCGGTGAGGCAGGTCTTAAAGACCTCGCCCTGGTAAATGTGGCATCCTCGCCGTGACCGGCTCACCTGAGGGGGGTGTAAAAGCACCTCACATAAAACACACATGTATACTAGCATGTTACCACAGCTGTTGCGGCTCAGTAAAAAGCTCTGCTGCCGCAGGTGCTTAACGGTTTCTAGTTTTGCCCCATAGGTTTATCAGTCTATTTGGGATTATAAGATAACCCCAGCTGAAACCTGAAAATACAGGAGTGTCAACAGGTGGCACAGTTCATTGGGGATAGAGTGTAGGTGTGCACATGCTGCATAGAGATATGTCTTGAACAAAAAGTATAGTTTGAATGCTACACTTGAAGAAGTAGGATACACGTCCTGTTTGTTATTCTTATTTTGCGGGGCCTTGTCAGCAGGCTCATTTCAATAATGGAAGAGTGTGAGTGTTTTACGGACCACACCCTAGCTCATGCCTTTAACTGCAGGGGTGGGGTAGTGGCCCGCCTGCCCGCCTAGTGTTGCACCCGGGTAGTGAAGCCGGGTCTGACGCATGAGGGATGCGTCTTATCCACTAGACCATCCCGGCCCTCTCAATAATGGAAAAGAGAGAGAGAGAGAGAGCGAGAGCGAGAGCGAGAGCGAGAGCGAGAGCGAGCGGGAGAGGGGGAGAGAGGGAAAGAGAGAGAGAGAGAGACAGAGACAGAGAGACAGAGAGAGAGAGAGATGGAGAGAGATGGAGAGAGATGGAGAGAGATGGAGAGAGATGGAGAGACAAGCGGGCCATGTGCTGTTGACTATAATGAAAGTTAGGTCACCTGTGTGATGACAGAGGTATTCAGAGATCATTGTTTGCCTGGGTTTGCTTGCTTCTTTCTAAAAACACTCGTATATTATTATAGGGTCAAGACCCAAACATACATGATCCAGTCTGCACTTAAGAGGCAGTTGCTGTTACTATTTATCACACATACTGTAACTAGGAATAGTTTAATTAAGGGTTATATTGAACTTGAGCACACTGGTTTGTCGTCCTGAATCTCATCTTGCAGAGCCTTGCTAACAGATTCCTTATAGTAAAACAGAGACACATCCACTTTCGAATTGTTTTGGAATCCAAACGTGCATAATCTGGCCTGCAGTCAAGAGGCAGTTGCACTTGCCATTCCTGAAACAGATGAAGATTGAGTTTTGTTTCTTGCTTGTTTCGGTTGGTGCCTGTCAATCTGAATCTTTAGTCGGGTCAGAGTCACTAAACCTGCTCAGGCACAAAGGAAACAAAAATCCATAAAAAAGCAGCCCTTAGATGCACAAAAACCTGCACAGGCGCCACATAAAGTCTGAAACTATGGATTCACTCCTGCGTAGTGGCTAGGTTTTTTTGTGTTTCTTGATGTTTCTTGGTATTTTTGGTGCCTGTGCAGGTTTTGTGCATCTAGTGGTTGTTTTCTTTGGTGCCTACCAATGCTGTGGTGTATATCCCATGCCAAGATACTGATGAACACATTGCGTGATACTGAGGTTTCAGACCCTCTAAGTGCAGAACGCATAGTTTTTTACAGATATTTACAGTAATTTTACAGTGTTTTATTGTTTTATTCATCATGTTTAAAGTGAACAAAAGTTCCCCCCGCAGCGTTTCACTCTCATTTTTTTCGAGGTCACCATGGGTTTCAAGAGGTGTCACTCTCGTTTTCCTGGTGCAGGTGTTTCAGCTCTCGGGGCACTCTCCATTTGCTCCGCTCCACAAGCGTTGTCTTTCGCAGCTTCAGCGCCATCCGCCGCCCCGTGGCTTCGAGGATTTCTTTGCGAAGCTCGCGAGGGATCCCTTGGTGCAGGCGGTGCGGCCATCCAGTTCGGTCGTTGATTTTTCGGGGCAAAATCATGAAGAAACACATGGAGAACCGCATGATTCTTTTTGAGTGGTTTGAAATTATTAAAGGGAATGTAGGGTTTTTTGAAGCCACCAGAACTTGGATATTGATTTTCTCCAGCATGACATCAAGTGGCTGAACGACTGGAATAGCTTCCGGAAAACCTGCTAACATATGCTAACGCTACCTTGATCATTGGATGATGTTCGAAAATTGTACCTTAAATCAACCCATTGAATGTTGCTAATGGCCAACCTGCCTGTATATACACTTCATATACACACCGCTTGAAATGCGGCCTAAATAAAGGAACAACGACAGTTTCTATCTTTGCAGTTTGGCTTTCACCAAACTTTTCCAGGTGCCGAATTGCGATGCTCAGTGGCTAGAGGAACTTGGTGCAAAATGCCTGAGGAAACCAAAGGCAAAGGATGCAGAGGTGTGAGGGAGGCTGACAGCCTAACAGGTTTTCGCAAGGGGTCATCACATTTAAATGCACTGCTCCAATTCAAATTGGGAGAGGGTGCCGAAGTGATGTGTTGATAACATTTAGTATATATAATAATATTATTATGCATAAAATTATCTAAGATTCCATGGTGATTTTTCAGTGTGTTTGTGGTTTCTTGACCACCACCTGGGTGTATCCCGCAAAAGCTAACGGTTTGAGAATGGAAATCTATTGAATCGCTTGATGGTCTAAGATCATGTGATCACCATGTGGAATTTGGAGAGGTGCCCAGGTTGTGGACCTACATAGCTAATTATTGAACATCGACATGTGGCGACCGCCTGATGGATCCGGGGTTATATCTCTTTCAAGATCCGACTGTTGCGATCTGTTGTGACCTGTTGCTCCATTATGCGACGGCGGCCAGAAAGCTCACAGTTGGTGAAGCTGCCCGGTCAATTTATTGGTAATATCGTTAATATAAGTCCAATCCCAGGGTTCGCTGGGATGTACGCAAGTTTCAACATGGCTGAACAACGGCTGAACATGTTTGAACAACGAACTTGTGGGACTTCCCCGAGGCAAGTCCCGGACTCTTTCTGATTTGGCATTTCAAGCTGATAGGCTGATGGGTGCGACATGCTTCAGCACCCCGCACATGAACAAAATTCCTCGCTGAGGGTAAGTCTCTGGGATGGCGATGGACAATGGAGAGAGAGAGGGAGAGGATAAGCAGAATCCCAATGACATGGGTGGGCATTTGTCATGACTGCAGCTTGTATCCACAATTTCTCGCCTGTTTCTGTAATAGTATACCCTTTAACTTCAAGCCGTCTTGCCCTCTTGCCTTCTTTGTATTATATTATCATTCTTGGTGGGGCATACCCGTTTTTGTTCATGTTCACAAAGCCGCGAATAACTCCACATCGATTGAAATTCGGAATTAAATGGTCAAGTGGGGAAGCGGATCGTTAGTGTTCTGCTTCTGCGCGAATGCATACTTTTTAATTTAAGCACAAGTGCTTTGCTTCGCCGCAAGAACCAGCTCGCGGGCACTTGAGGAAGGGTAACACCGTAACACCCCTGAATCTTGGGATCATTGGGTCCCGTTTGTCCGGACAGTGCTTAATTATGACTCATGGCTGATAAATACAGTACAACCAGAAGTACAACCATATTACGGACTCTTTGGTTCATTAGCCTGTATTTATGCCCTGTCGGGCTGAACATGTTGCCTCTGGCACCCACCCTAACTGAATCCACAATTACAATACCTGGTGAATCTTTTCGACGTATCCAACTCTAAAATCGAAGGTCACAAAATGTGCCAAACCGTTCTGGATTATCTTGGAAGGTGCTTTGACCTCTAAAACCATAAGGAATAGAAAACCAATAATGCCAAAAAGGGACATGTAGTAGTAGATATAGTAGGTATGTTGCACTTCCTCACTTGTAAGAAAACTTATTGAGAAGCATTTGAAATAGCAGGTGCAAACTTGTTTAAACCATCAGCGGGTGGCGAGCCACAGCAATGCTGAATGCGTTTTGCTGTCACCACCGTTGATAACCAAGTGTGCCAAGAGGAAAAAGGCAATGTACAGTTCCACCAAAACAGGTAGCCGATATTCAAGACATTCGAATACCTTCAGCCGATTTTGGAGGTTAATAGAATGGGCTAGCGCCCGGGTGCCACCGACCCCCCCTATTTGGGGGGTCCTGCAGAGAGAGGGAGAGAGATAGATGGATGGATGGATGGATGGATGGATGGATAGATAGGTAGAGAGATAGAGAGAGAGAGAGAGAGATAGACAGATAGATAGACAGTTGGATAGACAGATAGGTAGATGGAGAGATAGATGGATAGATAGCTGGATGGATAGATAGATAGATGGATAGATAGATAGAGAGGGAGAGATAGATAGAGGGGGAGAGAAAGATAGAGAGAGAGAGATAGATAGATAGACTGTAAGCAACACCAGAACGGGTCGAATAGACCATAGGAGCGTTTGCGGCAACCGATTTTATGTGGAGGAGGGCCGTGTCAGCACAGTGGCAAAAGCTTACGTGTACATATGCCCATTTTGCAATGGGGAAACGTCAAGTAACACCAAAACGGGGCGAATAAACCATAGGAGCATATGCGGCAACCAATTTTATGTGAAGGAGGGCCGTGTCAGCAGAAAGACGCGGCGCCATGCCCACTCCTGCCCGGTGTGTCAAACTGTTGTGTGGTCATGCCGTTCGTCTGGGCAGATTCACGTCAACCATGACACGCCTGCTGGGAAACCATGCAAGAAAACAAAATGGTTCGTGCCACAACAGAAGCCCCAAAAGAGACGGTGAATCACAAGCTCTTGTAGCCCATGCACTCCCTGAAAAACAGATGCCAGGGGCATGTAGCTGTAAGAGTTGCCTTGGAGGCCTGCGGAAGTGTTTGGAGGGTGTGACGCCGGGCAAACGGCAGTCTTGAACCTCCTGAAAAACAGATGGCAGGGGCATGTAGCTGTAAGAGTTGTTGCCTTGGAGGCCTGCGGGAGGGTTGGCAGCGTTTGGGGGGTTGGAGGCCGGGCAAACGCCAGTGTGGAACCCCTTGAAAAACAGATGGCAGGGGCATGTAGCTGTAAGAGTTGTTGCCTTGGAGGCCTGCGGGAGGGTTGGAAGCGTTTCGGGGGTTTGAGGGCGGGCAAACGGCAGTCTGGAACCCCTTGAAAAACAGATGGCAGGGGCATGTAGCTGTAAGAGTTGTTGCCTTGAAGCCCTGCGGAAGCGTTTGGGGAGTTTGAGGGCGGGGAAACGGCAGTCTTGAACCCCCTGAAAAACAGATGGCAGGGGCATGTAGCTGTAAGAGTTGTTGCCTTGGAGGCCTGCGGGAGCGTTTGGGGGGTTTGAGGGCGGGCAAACGGCAGTCTTGAACCCCCTGAAAAACAGATGGCAGGGGCATGTAGCTGTAAGAGTTGTTGCCTTGGAGGCCTGCGGGAGCGTTTGGGGGGTTTGAGGGCGGGCAAACGGCAGTCTTGAACCCCCTGAAAAACAGATGGCAGGGGCATGTAGCTGTAAGAGTTGTTGCCTTGAAGGCCTGCGGGAGGGTTGGAAGCGTTTGGGGGTTTGAGGCCAGGCAAACTGCAGTCTTGAACCCCCTGAAAAACAGATGGCAGGGACATGTAGCTGTAAGAGTTGTTGCCTTGGAGGCCTGCGGGAGCGTTTGGGGGGTTTGAGGGCGGGCAAACGGCAGTCTTGAACCCCCTGAAAAACAGATGGCAGGGCATGTAGCTGTAAGAGTTGTTGCCTTGGAGGCCTGCGGAAGCGTTTGGGGGGTTTGAGGCCGGGCAAACGGCAGTCTTGAACCCCCTGAAAAACAGATGGCAGGGGCATGTAGCTGTAAGAGTTGTTGCCTTGGAGGCCTGCGGGAGCGTTTGGGGGGTTTGAGGGCGGGCAAACGGCAGTCTTGAACCCCCTGAAAAACAGATGGCAGGGACATGTAGCTGTAAGAGTTGTTGCCTTTGGGGGGTTTGAGGGCGGGCAAACGGCAGTCTTGAAAAACAGATGGCAGGGACATGTAGCTGTAAGAGTTGTTGCCTTGAAGGCCTGCGGAAGCGTTTGGGGGGTTTAAGGGGGGGAAAGCGGCAGTCTTGAACCCCCTGAAAAACAGATGCAGAAGCGTTTGGGGGGTTGCGGGCAAACGGCAGTGTGGAACCCCCTGAAAAACAGATGGCAGGGGCATGTAGCTGTAAGAGTTGTTGCCTTGAAGCCCTGCGGAAGCGTTTGGAGGGTTTGAGGCCGGGCAAACGGCAGTCTTGAACCCCCTGAAAAACAGATGGCAGGGGCATGTAGCTGTAAGAGTTGTTGCCTTGGAGGCCTGCGGGAGCGTTTGGGGGGTTTGAGGGCGGGCAAACGGCAGTCTTGAACCACCTGAAAAACAGATGGCAGGGGCACGTAGCTGTAAGAGTAAGAGTTGTTGCCTTGGAGGCCTGCGGGAGCGTTTGGGGGGTTTGAGGGCGGGCAAACGGCAGTCTTGAACCCCCTGAAAAACAGATGGCAGGGGCATGTAGCTGTAAGAGTTGTTGCCTTGAAGGCCTGCGGGAGGGTTGGAAGCGTTTGGGGGTTTGAGGCCAGGCAAACGGCAGTCTTGAACCCCCTGAAAAACAGATGGCAGGGACATGTAGCTGTAAGAGTTGTTGCCTTGGAGGCCTGCGGAAGCGTTTCGGGGGTTTGAGGGCGGGCAAACGCCAGTCTGGAACCCCCTGAAAAACAGATGGCAGGGGCATGTAGCTGTAAGAGTTGTTGCCTTGAAGCCCTGCGGAAGCGTTTGGGGGGTTTGAGGGCGGGCAAACGGCAGTCTTGAACCCCCTGAAAAACAGATGGCAGGGGCATGTAGCTGTAAGAGTTGTTGCCTTGGAGGCCTGCGGGAGCGTTTGGGGGGTTTGAGGCCGGGCAAACGGCAGTCTTGAACCCCCTGAAAAACAGATGGCAGGGACATGTAGCTGTAAGAGTTGTTGCCTTGAAGGCCTGCAGAAGCGTTTGGGGGGTTTGAGGGCGGGCAAACGGCAGTCTTGAACCCCAGATGGCAGGGACATGTAGCTGTAAGAGTTGTTGCCTTGAAGGCCTGCGGAAGCGTTTGGGGGGTTTAAGGGGGGGAAAGCGGCAGTCTTGAACCCCCTGAAAAACAGATGCAGAAGCGTTTGGGGGGTTTGAGGGCGGGCAAACGGCAGTCTTGAACCCCAGATGGCAGGGACATGTAGCTGTAAGAGTTGTTGCCTTGAAGGCCTGCGGAAGCGTTTGGGGGGTTTGAGGGCGGGCAAACGGCAGTCTTGAACACCCTGAAAAACAGATAGAGTTATTGCCTTGGAGGCCTGCGGGAGGGTTGGAAGCGTTTGGAGGGTTTGAGGCCGGGCAAACGGCAGTCTTGAACCCCCTGAAAAACAGATGGAAGAGTTGTTGCCTTGGAGGCCTGCGGGAGGGTTGGAAGCGTTTGGGGGGTTGGAGGGCGGGCAAACGGCAGTCTTGAACCCCCTGAAAAACAGATGGCAGGGGCATGTAGCTGTAAGAGTTGTTGCCTTGGAGGCCTACGGAAGGGTTGGAAGCGTTTGGGGG